ACTTCGCCGACTTGATAGAAAATAAGAAGATGATTAAATTAGAAAGATGAGATCGTACTTGAAGAGAATCATAATTGAAGGACCAGTTCGCCAAAAATTTGCTCGTAACGTTTCGAGGAGGATCCTCGCGTTCGGACTGAGACGTCAAGGATGCGGAACAGCCGCGATTCCGAACCACTATCGAATTCTTGGCTTCTCTGAAGACCCGGGGCTCGTAACCCCGGGATCTTGAAGCCTAGAATTTCAAGGGTCCCGTTTCGGGCTTTCGCTCGCGGCCACGATCCCGCGGCAGCATCGTAGTCCAAATTGGTACGAAGTGATCCGTGGTAGGTCGTACCGTTCGCGCTCCAACCGTTTCAGATTCCTCGGACGTTCAGGATCACGTTGACTATGCGATTTTGTGGCTTCATACCCGGGAAAGCGCAGAAACCGGAAGCACTCGTCGGGAGAGAGAGAGAGTCTCCGGATATTCGTATATATTTCACGATCATGAGGATTCCCCGTCGCGTAATATCGACTCCTGCACATTTGCTGCCTGATAATGTCGGATCTCGGCTCTGCGCTGCAAAATATACTTTAATGAAAATCGAGAGATAAATATATTATTATTCTTTTACCCACGCCTATAAAATTATAACGATCTTATATATTTTGCATAGATGATGCTAACAGGAGAGACGGACAAGAGCTCGAAATATTGCTGAGTTTACTTGCTACAGTTGCGGTTTAAATTAAATAAAGATGACAGTGCAAAATTCTTTGCAGTAGTAAAAAGTTGAAAAAATATTTGCAAGTATTATTTCTGCAAATAATTTGCAAATATTAAAAATTTTAAACAAGGAGATGTTCAAAGGGCAAACTTAATGTTTCCGTAAATTAATATTAAAGAGAAAATGCAAAATTCTTTATGGCAATGAAAAGGGAAGAGCTTATTAAAAGAGCTTTCGCAAATGTTATATATAATTCTTACACAGGTGAATATATTGTTCCTGCACATAATTTGCGAATATTAAAAAATTTTGAACAAGGACATATTCAAAGAGCGAGCTTAATGTTAATTTATATTTCCATAAATTAATATTACAGAGAAAATGCAGAATAGCAAATAAAGAAAGAATGTTCGCAAATATATATAATTCTTAACACTTAAATGTCAATTATTGTTTGCGCAAATAATTTGCAAATATTAAAAAATTCTCGAATAAAATATTCACACAGAGCAACCTAACAAATTTAACGTTAATTTATATTTTCATAAATTAAAGAGACAGAGAATTATCTAGTTGGATCTTTGACTGGCAATCCACATGAGTATAAACACTCGCAAAATAAGGTGCGTCACTGCAGGCAAGTATCCGGATGACACTTTAATAATATGGGATATAAACAAAGGGGTAAGCAATTGCGTTTGCGTGCGACACAAAGTTCGTTTACCTTCGTATCCTGTACATGTCCAGACCAAGCATATCGTGCATCTGGAAAGAGAGAGGGATAGAAAGGAGGAAAAAAAGAGTGTGAGAATCAATAATTACTTTCAATGTAAAGCATGATATAAATAAAGCATGCGCGTGGGAGTATTATACGCACGAAATATGCATCGGTCGTATGCAATCTTTTCATCGGTTTATGTACGCGTTATCGATAATGTGCATAAAGCGTAAAGAGGAGGGAGATATAGTCTTCGCTTACTTTCGTATCTCCATGTGACAGGCAAATGACGGCGGTCGGTCCGATACGATGACTATAAACGACGACAAACATCATAGGACGGAAGTAAAATTCAGTAGTGCTATAAAGCGTGGATGACGTCCGGTCGAGAATCGCCCACCAGTCTGAATGAGTGAGCTCTTTATACGAGACTTTGTCTAATGTACTTTGTAAAATGTACAACAGTTAAAACAGAAATAGAGAGAGAGAGTGTGTGTGTGTGTTTGTGTATGTATGTAAGAGATAAGAATATCATTGATTATTTATTTCATTTATGAAAAATTAATTATTATTTTATTTGTGAAAAATTCATTTTTATTGCTATTTTATTTTATATAAGTTTTGCGATATTTTTTTAAAGACATCGTGAAAATTGTAAGATTTATAAATGATCTGATTTTTATATATTCCATATAATTATATTCAATTTTAGATTTTATTTAAGAAGTGGCATTGCAATAGATGTAAAAATGAAAACAAACGTGAAGATTAAATGGCAAACTTCTCGTAGCACTAATAAGAATAGTTTAACTATAAAAATAAAAACTATCGACTGAATTTTAAATACTGCATATGCTTTGCATGTTTTCTATTTGTATATTTTCCCAATCATCTTCTATTCTCTAATGAGATAAATATCTCATAAGCGAAACAAATTTATATATGCAGATCTAAATCATCTTAATTTTAATTCTTTATTATAATACAAAGTTAAAAGATACGTATTGTTTACTTTTAACAATAATTGCAACATAATTCCGAAAAGTTTATCAAATGTTGAACTTTGAGCATTTTTAGAATATAAAATTAATAGAAATAGTATCGATCGAGGAAATCTGGCAATGGGCGAGTTTTACGATCCGAGAAATTTCCAATGGGCTTGCTAGTAGGTTCTGTCTATCAATTGGACAACTTTAACTAATGCATGGACTTGGACTACGAGATGTCGGCAAGTATCTGCCAATAGTACTGCTTAAGTGAAGTCGAAATGCATTTATCTTCGTAAGAACGAATCTGTCTGACTGACTTTTAAAGATGTTAAAGACAGATATCAGGAACCAATCAAAAAATTGTACTGGGATGTACCTGCCGGATGCACGGCTAAGAATATTCAGAATGTCGTTCGATAAGTCGCGACTGTGGCTTTCAACAATTCTCCTCGGAAACTGAGGATCGAGATGTCGAAGATGTTACAGAAACAAGTCCGAAGCCGTCTTCGCTGGATATTGTTTACATGTGAGTTATATGCGAGCTTCAATCTCTCGACATATTGGAAATTACATGTTTCGTCTTGAAATTACGTGTTACGAGATTCTTTTAAATAGATAAGAAAATTTGACACAAAAGCTAATAAATAAAATTTTATAGAAATATTTTTTTCAACACCGAACATCGGTTCTTATCAAGCTATATGGATAAAATATCTCTCTTATGCATAATCTTGTTCATTGTGCTTTTAATAATCCTCGCTGGCACTGTCTTTCATGCCATCTACTCGAAGAAGAATGACAAGAGACCCACAGTGGAAACGTTGCCCGATATCCTAATTTCTTTCTTTCTAATGTCAAATCTGAAGAAAACTCTTCGTGACGTCATATGTCAACGACTTGCATCTGGAATGTATTTCTTGTGTAAAATTTGTTTCCATCAAATTTGTGTTCATTGCAGGGCATATGCTTATCAAATTTGTGTTCATTGCAGGATATATGTTTGTTATAAGTGGTCTGATGCTTAATAAGAAATTTTTGGAAAAAGTATTTAAATAATACATTATACATACATGAACACATACACATACATTGATATTAAAGATATTATATTATTCTTTTAATAGGGAGTGACCAAGATTGAGAATTATCCTCAATAATCCTTTCTTAGTCGATACGTTTCTCCTATTCATCGAGCGATTTCCTTTCCTGCAGAATATTTCTTCAGGAACTGGTCAAGAAGAAATCAGTTCAGAATCTACTTTTCTTATACAGTATACGTTATATTAGGCACGCATCATATTAAAACTTAACAAAACTTATAAACAAAACAAAATTTATAATTTATAATTTTTTTAATGTTTAATTTTTTTAATGTTTGAATATTTTGAGATTAATAAAAATAATAAATTAATTATTTTTACATATATTGATCTACTTTCTCAATTTAGATTAACACCAGTGTATTCTGCAATAATCGGTCACGTGGTTAACGTGGCTTAATCAAGGTCCATTTTAATTCAGAATTCGACACGAAAAAAATGTTTTGGCATCACCGTGAACCAATCTTCTGTACATTAACAATTACGTAAACACAGATAAACTGATAGATCCTTCAGGTTCATCGCGAATTAGAAATATTTCATATTTATATCAAAAATTATTTTTAAACATAATTTCAAGAAGAAATGCATATAACATGCATATAAAACGTATTTTACAATAAAAACTCTTCGTAAAAGTTTACATGACATATTATTTGTAATTTATTAATTTTTACAAATATTATAATTATTATTTTATTTATAATTGTTATTTAAATTTTATTTTATTATTTTAATATTATTTCATTATTTCATTTATTATAATTATTATTTGAATTCTGAATAATAATCTTCCTTTTATTCAAAAAAATTTCCTCATTTGTTTATTGCATACATTTATACGGATTTATAGAATTTAAAAGCTTGTAATTTATATGATACTGATAATTTATGTGATACTGATAAACGGTCATTTTCGGCTATTTTTTTTTCACACGATTATCTTTTATGATTTGATGCATGTTCCAATCGTGGTACCTCGCCGCGGATACGCAGCTTTTCATATTCTCGTCACTGATCATATATTCCCTGTAGAGATGGCGTAAAATTGGAAAGTGGTTGCTTATCGATGCGATAGCGATCTCAATAGCAATATTCACGATAACGCTTCTCAATTTGGATCCAACATTTATGATTTATTCGCAGTATATTCGAAAACCTAATATTAATTTCGAATGATAAGAATTAAATATTAATTTGAAAAACTTAATATTAATGTCAAAGTTCAAAATAAAATTTTTTGCAAAATTCTAGTTAACTATCATTATCGTAAGTATTTTCAAGCCACTTAATTATGCTACTTATGTAACAAATAATTATAAAATGAAATTATGCATTTATATGATTATATTATTCATTTAATTTTTTTTATACATATTAACAATTTTAATATCTTAGTCTATAAATAATTTTATTAAATGTGCAGTAAAATTAAAGACATCGCAACGATTTCTTTATGAACGCATTAAAACTCATATTAGAGTCAAATCGTATTGCATTTTTATTGGTCTTGCATTTGGCTATACATTGTTTATCAAATTTAAATGACATCGTTTATCAAGGATAATTTTTAATTAATTTTTTTGTTTAATATACAGGATCATCACGAACACTTTGTATTGTATGTTAATTCAAATACATATTGACGAATTAAAAAACAAATAATTAGATACGTAGATTGATCAGAGTGTTTATAAAATTATTCCATTATAATGTGAATTTTTTCATATGAAAGAAATGGTCAAATTGGAGTGATTATTTGCGACACTGTTGTTACTAGTATCCATGTTCTCTATTATCATATTTTATAATATAAGAAAGGACTTTACTATCATCGAGGCAGTCATCATATATTCTCCTCGATTTTTTTGGTGTATCGGTATCAAGATAATTCTAATTGCGTCACCAATAATGAAAGTATATACTTGTTTCAACTAAGGATTAAAATATGTGTTAATTAATAGATTTAAATATATGTTGATCTTCTTGATTTCAGGATAAGTGAAAAATTTTTTAAAATATAGTGTGTTTATTGTTCTCAGCCGATTGACATATTTTGCGTATTTAGTAAGTGGTCTCATCGAATTGCACATCATAGCGATTATACGATCGCCTCAACATCTAGGTAACTTTAAATTGGTTGATATTACATATATACACACATACACACGCACAATCATCATATATCTGATATACTCGATAAAATCTAACTGATAAAAATAGATAAAAAATATTATCTTTTTTTAGTTGGAGATTATATTGTCGCATATAATGCTCACTTTCGGCGGGTCTTATTATCAATAGTGTTCGAATCGCCAATTTCAGCCTCGAACGGATATTCTTGCGAAGCGGTATATGCATAATAAATATTATCGTTACATATATATCGTTATTATTATTTATATTAAAGAGAGAAAGAGGAGATAGAGTCGATATATTTCTGTATATATACATGTATGTATAAGAATTCACCTTCATTTTTTTCCTCTCAGAAAAACGAACGTCATAAAATGATTTCGATGACAGAATGCAGGTAGAAATCAATGCAGTATTATTCGATCAGAAGATTTTCCGAAAACAATCGTGAACGCGATTTACAAAGTAGTTTCGCTCACCTTACAAAGTAGTTCTCTTTTATATTTTTATTTCCGGCATAAAATTTGAAACTTGCTCGCTTCAGAACCGGAAGCAAGAAAAGAGATAATTCGTGATTTTAAATCCAGAAAACGCTTTGTACATAACGAACACGCAATATACATAAGAAGCAGTATACTCATCAAAATAATGCGAAGAAGAGATATGTGTGCAGCGCAAATATATTTTTTTTTAATTTATTAACTTATAAGGATTAAATATATAAATCTCGATCGATTTTTTCATCCTCGTATCTTTTTTCTCGCGCAAGCACTCGTTGCTTCGAGCGCTACGATTCGATCGTTTCGCTTTTTCCCTCATCCTTACCTTCGGCCAAACTTGAAGGTAAAGTACGGTCACTTTCGTACGCAATTATCTAAAATCATTTTCGTCAAGTTTCCTCCCGTTCCCAGTCCCAATCCGCGTCCTCCGACTTCCTCTTCCAGTCGGTCCTGTAAATTTCTTCCTCCTCCTCGTCCTCTTCCTCTGCCTCCTCGCTAGGCCAATTAAATCTTCCCGAATCGTCGTCGGTCTCAGATTTAGAGCTCTGCCTATAATCTGAGTCGCGAGTGTCTTTGCTGTATTCCGTCGAGACGGAATCCCTCTCCTCCGTGCCGGATTTCGAACTGGTTCTGTTTTCTTCTGTGTCGGTACTCTTGCCACGCAGCAACGCGGCTTCTTCGTCGGCGAGCGACTCGGTGTCCTCGGATTGTTCGCCGCTGTGTTCGCGTTTGATCGACGTCTCCTTCGTCGTCTGTTTGGTCTCTGATGGCTGCTCCTTGGGATCCTTTATAGCGTACGCCGAGGAGCCTTCCTCCTCCGATCGAGACTTTTGCATCTGCCAGGCCTTCTTGAAAGGATGTTCCCGCTCTTGCTGGACCAGCTTGGGTCTTTCCGGTAGGAGATACTCGGGATCCTCCTCGCTGGCCTGACTCTTCACGATGGATTCCCGCTTAAATAATCCAGTTGATGTCGACTTTGTTGAAGGATCATCGTCTTTTTTCACCACGTTCCATCCAGCGCTCGTCAATTCTTCCTGCGACAATTTTGACAGATCCTGCAGAGATTCCCTCTTGCTTTCCTTAGTCAGGACAAAATTGTGGTTGTTAGCGTCATCCTCTTCTTCCAGGGATGTCTTCTGGCTACCACTGGTGTACGATTGCCTTCGCGAATTATCTTGACTACTTTCTCCCTCGCTCAAGCTCGCCTCTCGCGAAGGCGGACCTTGCTCGCGATATTCCCTCCGGCGCATGTAAATACCGTCATCCTCGGGCTCGCTCGGCTCCTGGGGTTCGAGCAGTTCAATTCGCGCTCCAACGCTAACGGTCCACGAGTCCATGTTGTCTTCACCGGAGACATCGTCGCTCAGCAACGCTATCCTGCCCTCCGCGGAGGATCTACGTTTCAAGGGTTCCGCCTCAGGTTCGCTTCTCTCCTCGGACAGCGATTCTCGCTTCTGAGTGACCAACTGTTCCATAAACTGTTTTCTTCGTATCCTCAATTCGTGTTCCCAGTCCTCCTCGTCGCTCGTTTTCGTCTCGGAACTTGGAACGCGTTCCAGCTGCGTTCCTCGAATCGATGGCTCCTCTTCGCTTTCAGAAGACAGTATTTTTTTCGCGACGTCTGCTGATTTTGCGAGAGGTGCTTTCGTTTGTCGCGGTATTGTTTCGTATTGTTCTTTTGCAGAGAGGCCCTCCTTTCCGACGAATTCCCAAGAACGATAGTCGTCCACTTGCTTGGTCGACGCCTTTTCTTTGGATTCAGATCTCCCAAATTGTCGCAAATCGTCGTTGCTTTTTCTCTTGCGCTGCCGCTCTTCCTCACTTTCGCTCTCTCTCGATGTCAATTTCTTGCTATCTTTGGTTCTCGATAGCGAACGCCTACGTTGAGCGGTCTCGTGCTCTCGTTGACTTCTCAGAAATTCGATAGTTTCTTCTTCAGAGTCATCCGTTGCGTATCTCTGACTATTTATGCCTCTTTTGCCTCGTACCACGTACTCTTCCGTATCTTTGGATGGTCTTCTAGTAAATACTGTGGCTCGATCTTTACTCGACATTTCGTCGGAATCGTGCGTTTCATGATCGATAAACGACATTCGTCTTCCATTCACTTTCTTTAATATCGGTACATTTACCGTCTCGTCTTCTGTGTCGTGTCCTTCGGCCACAACCGCACCGTGAGCTATATCCTTCTGCCAATCCCACCCGGTAGACGCGATCTCGTCATCCTCGAAAACGTTTGCTTGCTCAACCGGCCCTTTGGCGACTTCCGCCAATTCAGCAAAGCTTTTATCCTCGCTTATACTTGTCTTTTCTTCTTTGGAATCTTCGAGTATCGAAATGTCCGTGCTTTCCATAATGACACTCTTCACCTCCTGCATCGGAAGATCAAAGAGTAACGTCAAAACAACTGACGCAGCTATTACTATCACTACTTCCAGAGGATCAATCTGTAAGAGTAATGTATTCATTCATATGTCTATCGTATATCGAACGACTCTAAATGTGACTATCTGATTCTAAAGTTGACATCTGGGATATATATTTCTAGTCATAGGCAGAATACAAAAGCTCTAATAACATTTTAATGACATAATCAGAGAGACACATTTAGAGCTAAATATATGAAAAGCTACAAGCTTAATGAAATAAGGTTTCCTTGCTTTGCCAGCGCGACTTACTGCTTTAAGAGGTTGAAATTCCGAGGAAAATCTCGTGGTCCCGACATTGTAGAAAAATACCGCGAATTGCGTTAGGTATATGGCGTACGATAGCCTGCTGAAGATCTTGAACCAATAGTTGGAGAGGAAATTGTTAACGACACCTACGAAGTAAGTAATCATTCCGTCAATATTCCATTACATTTTCATCAATTTCCGACACGAGTTTGTAATCAATCACTTATTACAACCTCCATGTTCAGTGAAGCAGGCGAATATTGACCAGCATAAAGCCGTGGCCCACAATACTGGTCCGATTACTGCATAATGAGCGGCTTCTTCGACATTGTACACGTAATCTCGTCTGGCCTGATGCCAGGGTGAAAATAATGACCATGAACCTAGAAGTGTTGCAATCGACCAACCCAAGATCACCAACGCCTATAAATAGAACGTTGTCACGTGATCATGCACCATCACGAAGAAAGAATAGTAGAATAGTAAAAGAAGAAGAAAAAATAGTAGAAAGGTAAATACTCATGAAAAAATAATACCTTGTGAATTTTGACATTCTTCCCGGTATAATGTAACAACACGCCGAGGCCGACACCGAAAACGTATGGTGTTGCTCTGTGCAGCGGCAACGCGTAAGTAAGATTAGCAGTCTTGTAGAGACGCTTTAACCTGCGGTCGAGAATATATTTAATGTACGACAATACACAGTAAAAAATTGTGCACCCATATGTTAACATTTTCTTGTTACCACTTTTTGACTAGTAATTTAATGTAAAATTAACATACAACATATATGTTATTATTTTTATAACGTTTTCATGTGTTACATCTATGTCAACTTCATAACTTAACACTTTGTATATGTCTCTTAGAAATAGGATATTATTTTTAACATAATTATTTTAAACAATCAACATGTCTCAAAATCAGTTTAACATTCTAAGAAAAGTTAAAGTAAATCTTCAAATAATCTTTGACATACAAAATAATCAAATTTACTAAAATCAAATGTTTCTATTGCAAATCATTTAAGTTAAAATAATTATTATTATATGTTAATGTCCTACAACAATTCTTATTGAGTTATTGCAACTATTTCTTCATGTAATTTTTAATTAATTTGTATGTTATTTTTACATTACTTAAAGTCACAATAACAAAAATAAATGTAAAGTATTGTGTCAATTATTTCACATTTTTAGTTTGTCAATAAGTAACATACGAATGAGTTATTTTAACTTAAAATTTAGAATGGACTTTCTGGGACATGTGAAAAATGTTATAATTAACATTTTATTTTTTATCGTGTACGATATCAAGATATTCAAAAATGTACTCACGACATCCCGTGAAAGATGACGAGAGACAGATAATTGCTCATTGTCGCTATGTATCGTAGAGTGGCGGACAATAGAACGAGGAAGGTTATCAAGAGGACACCGACGAGGAGCTTGTACTGCAGGAAGAAGACCAAGATAGGCGCCAAGAGTGACAGCTGCATATCCAGGGCCAGCTGATGCGTATGCGTGGCGCACTGCAAACGATACGTTCCATCAATGGATTCGAGTCCATCGTCTGTCTCCTCTCGCACGACTCACCATCTCCTCGAACGGAAAGAAGTTCTGCACGTATAATAGATTTGTCCAGGCGTTGTGCTTGCAGAGCTCCGCGTTCGCGGTGATGATACTGTTCCATTGCGGACCTGAACCCACATGTTCCATCACGAACGCGTACCAAAACACCACCGCGAGCAACGCCGGTGAAAGTCTGTGAAGATCGATGATGTAAATTAATTTATATTAAGGGGTTATACTTAGTCAGCAAGTCGAAAAAAATGTATTTTTGGGGAATTTAAAAAAAAACTGTTAGGTATTTTTATTTCATCGATTCTTTATCATAATATATATTTATCAAAAAATTTTTTATAATTTATCAAAGAATTTTTTATATTTATCAAAGAATTTTTTATAATTTTTTCCATTAAAAATATCGAGAAATGTAGGCACGGTAGATATTTTCCAGAGACATCTTTTTTCGAAGGCGCTTGGCGGTGAGCAAGATTGCTCGGAGCTGGATCATCTGAAAAATTCAAAAGGATTTAGCTTTCGTATGAATTGATCTAGTCGATGAACGAAGGATTTTACAAAAAATCGATTTTTGACAATGTGACAGACGTTTGACGCAAAAATACGAATTTTTCGTGTTAAAACTTTTTGTTCTTTTGTTAATAAAAAAAAAGGTTTCATCAAAATCCCTTCGTTCATCAACTAGATCAATTCATACGAAAGCTAAATCCTTTTGAATTTTTTATTTCAGATGATCCAGCTTGGAGCAATCTTGCTCACCTCCAAGCGCCTTCGAAAAAAGATGTCTCTGAAAAATAATTACACGGTAAAAAACATTTTGTATTTCTGTTAAAATTTTCTCGTGTAAAAATTTTTGTGTTAAATTTTTAATATACTCTTATATTAATGTAACATATTATCATTGCGTTATTTTGACATTTCTGTATTGAGTTAATATTCACTGTTTCTAAGAATTAAAACAACACAATTAATGTAAATGTAATAATATGTAAACGCAGGAATTTTTGATGAAATATGTTATATGTTAAAATGAACAGATAAGTTGTGTTATTTTTTTCTCTATAATTGTTTCCATATGTTAAATCGACATATCTCTTCTGTTATTTATCATAAAAATGTAAGAATAACATTTTCTTTTAATTAAATTTAACATTATAAATATGTTAATTTAACATAAACTTTATTTCCAGATAAAGTTTAAGTGTTACACTTTTGTGTTAATTTTTAAATATATTACTTGTTATTTATTTACATACTTGCCTTTTGTTAAATTAACATTAAAATTAGAGTGGATAAATTGGGACATGTGAAATATGTTAAATTTAATACAAAATTTTTTGCTGTGTACTGTGTCTACATTTCTCGATATTTTTAATTGAAAAAATTATGAAAACTTCTTTGATAGATATATATTATGATAAAGAATCGATGACATAAAAATATCTAACAGTTTTTCTTAAATTCCCCAAAAATACGTTTTTTTCGACTTGCTGACTAGGTATAACACCTTAATTACATTGTTTTCACACGATCGAAGAATTATGTTTTTCTAATAGGTAGAACGTGCCTGATAAATCTGGCGATGAAGCGGCAGAACCAGCGAATCTCACCGCGAATTTTCAGTTCCTCCGCCATATTGTAAGCGGTCAGAAGACCGCTCAGCAGCAGAAACGCATCCGTGTAAACCAAGGATACTCGCAAAATAGAGCTTGCTGGGTTGTTAGCGATCTAACGTTTAAACATCATTTAACATTGATGCGACGTCAATTTGTGATAAAACGCAAAGCGACGATTTTTCGCCCAAAGATCTTACCTCGGTAAGAGAAGCACGATTACTAAACGGTATTCGGGCGATTGCTACAAGCTGGTGAGCAATGTAAAGAGCGATCGTGGCCAGCGTTCTTATTCCGTGAACGCAGGTAATATCCGCACCGTCCGCACCGTCCTTGAATAAGGCTTTAACCGTCCTCCGTAAGGAAAATGACATGATTATCCTCTCAGAATAATTTCCTGCGAAAGAGACATTATTACGCACAATCGCGCTGCTGGATTAAAATATGCTCGAATCTCGTAATTTATCGAAACTACCTACCTTTTCCTTGCGTTTCCACGAAATAATCCCTCACAGTTGCCACGATAACGAGACAAACGACCATTGCGTAAAAATATCTATTCAAAAAAATAACACACGTAAAGTTTATTGATTACTACTTCTTTAAAATACAATGGAAAAGAAAACGTACAAAACGCCGATCGTTTCCTTCGAATAAGTTTGAGGCTTTTGTTTCACGTAACACATATTAGGATCGACGTCCACCGTAAATCTAATTCCAACAGTTCCATTGTAATCCTCTAAGGCACTTTCTAACGCACGTTCGGCGTCCTTAGCGGAACACGCCGCAGGTAGACAGAGCGCCCAATTGATTGTAGTAAATTTCGGAATGAAATGACCTGGCTGCAACATTCAATGGATCGCTAAAAAGCTTCCAATTTAAAAACAACTCCCGCTCAAATTAAATGTCACATGTCTATCTGATTGTTTTAACGAAAAATGAAGAGAAATAGATTCAGAGAGCAAACTTCTCTGATTTTATTTCTCAGAAATTCATGAAATAAATTTATATTGTATTTTATTTATAGTGTTATTTTGTATATATTAGTACTATTCTATTTTTTTTAATCCATCTGAGAATTTTGTAAAAAAATGCAGATTGACAATGTATAATTTTTCATTGCTTATTTCGACTTGCAAGATCTCTTACGTCGTGCATGCTTGCTCGTATAAAAGCGCGCCCCTGCATTAAATTGACCGGCAGCCTCATGTCTGGATGGGAAGCGTGCAGGTCCATAGTAGCCAAGCAATATTTCCCTTGAATTCTTATCGTTCTCTCATCTACTTTAACATATGCCAACACACCCAAACATTGATCGTAATCCCCGAGCTGATTCACGTTTCCTCGTAACAAGCCCGAGGGAATCTTTGCGCTCGCATCCAACACTAGAAGCAAGATAGCTCTCTTTTAGATCCAATAAAACGCATTTTGTTTACAATCAAAAACATTCAAGCATTATAAAATAAACGTAATTGAGACTTTTGAGATTAAAAAGAGTTTCGTTAATATGCATGTTTCTTCTCAAAAAAATAATTATTGAATTAAATACTGAATATCTCCTGGCTAAAGTGATAATAATGACTTTGGCTCGTCAATGCGAAAATAGAATGAACAGTTATTTCTGTCAATCGACTCACTTTGCAGCGCCCACAACTTGTAACCTCTCAATTGTCGCAGGAATATCTTGCCGTGTTGCTGACACTCGAGGCTTTCAACATTCGTAAAATTTGGCACGAAGGTCGGCACACGCAGAATTGCATCATTCAGTTCGGACAATGTGACAGATGCGTCTGTACGTTTCTTCGGTGTTGGCTTTGTTTCTTGCTCTAAAAGTATTAATCAATTAAAATTTCTTACAACGAATCACTTCGAAAAGTTGAAACGCGATTCTACCTACTTTCAAATACGCTCTTAAAAACACATAGTACTTATAATATATTTGTACTATCAAGGTATTACTTTTATAAAGAAAAAAAGCTATTCGGCGCGCGAAAAAAACTGAAAAATTTTTCCAATTATTTCAAGAAAAACAAGCAAAAATTTCTGTAGCAGAGGAAAATTCAGCGAAAAACAATAAGATTACAGGCTCTGTTGGATATTGCTTTAGTTAGATTATTACTTAAGATACTACCACATTGGCGCTTATTCACCTGGAAACGGTATGAACATCTTTAGATAAACTCGCGCTTTTCATATTGAACCATTTTCACATAATACTCACTCTTCACTTGCGAAACTTCCATCGACGGCTTCGAAGTTGCTTTTGTCGTTACTTTTTTGACATCCACCTTCTCTGCTTGTTTCGCCTGCTCCTTGATCCTCGGCGCAGGTGTTGAAGTTCCCGGTTTCACGCGCGTCTTCGATCTTTCGTCTGCTATTTTTGTTGCAGTTTTAGGTACCTCGGTCTTAGGCTCAGGAGTAACCTTGACCGATTCAATTTTTCTTTTACTCTCGGATAATTTTTCGCTAACTTCGATTGATTTCTTCGCGCTCTCGACAGGTTTTCTCGTGCTTTCGATTGATTCAAGTTTTTTCGTTCTTTCGATTGTCTTTTTTACGCTCTCAACTGCCGGCTTTGTGACATTAGTCGGTCTTTTATCTTCATGTTTTGGCTTCTCCACATCGCGTTTGCTAAGTACAATAGTTTTGTCTTTATCGGCGAGTCTTACTTTTTCCAACTTTCTAGGTGATGGAACGGTTTCTCTTATATCATCTTCTTTACTTCCATCTTCATCCTCGTCTTTTTGCGGAACCTGAATTTTTTGTTTTTTATGTGATACATCGACTTGTTTTTTAAGTGGCTCTACGACTTTTCGCCTATCTACTTTGGCTTTCTTTTCTTCTTCTTGTTCATCATCTTCCTCCTCTTCGTCGTCAACTATATTTTTACTATATTTCCTTGATTTAGTTTTAACTTGTATTTTAGTTTCTTCCATTCGTATTTTTGAAGTTTTCTTAAGGATCTTTTTCTCATCTTCATCATCATCGTCATCGTCATCGTCATCTACGTCGTCGTCGTCGTCATCGTCGTCGTTATCATCATCATCATCATCATCATTATCATCATTATCATCATCATCATCATCATCATCATCATCATCATCATCATCATCATCATCATCATCACTTTCATTATCGTCTTCGCGAACAACAGTTTTATCCAATTTGTCTTGTTTACTTTTAGCATCTCGATCCGATAGTTCAGTCTCGGTTACATCGTCCTCATCTATCCTATCTGTACGATCTCTCTCAAAATCCTCCCTCGATTCTTCATCCTCCTCCACCTCCACATCTTCATCATCGTCAACTTCGACACTTTCAGCCTTGTACTTTTTCGATGCAAATCTGATCGCATCCTTGTCTCTCGGACGTTCCGTGGTTCGAATTTTCTCCGTTCCAATGTCTGACGTTGACTCGGCAGGTGGTTTCCGGTCAGCAGCGGTAGTTCGCGATGTTATGCCCTCGTGCCATTTTCGAGCCAAGTGCACCGGTTTCCCGGTCGTTGTCGTTTTGTCCGGGCAGGCTCTGTCGTGCGTTGGAACGCAGACCGAGTGCGGCGTTTGCGGCGCGATATCGCGTATTCGGAAGCCGTAGCAGGTGGCGTAGAGTAATACGATCAAAGCCAGTAGCGCGACAGCGAACTTGCCCGGAAGGGCGACAGCCATGATAAGACGACCTTCGCATGGAAATGGCGAAGCTTGGACGCCGCTCGCGAGGCTCGATCTACGGCGATGACGACGATGACGACGACGTCAGCTGTCGGTTGACGTACAGCAGCAACTTGCCTTCGAAGAGCCCGTTTGATGTCCCGCGTCTCCTCAGATCCACCGCTCTCCCTTTCACGATCGCGAGAGAAGAATCGGCCGCGAATTATCGACGATATCGCGCTGATCACCCTCCGACGTGGCAAGATCCCGGGCCACCACGTCCACAGCCGGTCGTGCCTTCGGGGAAATTAGAGCGCATGGCATCGGCCCAAGCAGCTAAGAGTTTTATTTAGCATCAAGTTTTCGAGGCAGTCGACCACCGCCGTGGCGGCGGCAGAAGCAGCCTCTTCCACGTCGCAGCTGCGACTGCGTCGATTCTACCCCGGGAACCGGCTGATACGAATCTTTCGTTACGCAAGATATATAGGGAAACTTACAGCGTGAATTTTCACTTTGTAATTCCGCGTGTGTCCGCGGGTCTTCGACTTTACGTTTGGTAGCCACGCGAGAGTGAGCTTTATTGTTTCATAATTTTTAGAATTTAGGCGACAACAGAATTTGTAAGAGAATTTTGATTCGCTGCTATAAATTTCAATAACTTTGTAGCAAGACGGTAGTGAATGTCATCGAGAAACGTTTTGCAATAATTTTTGAACTATAATATATTTGTAAATATTATCTTTTTACGAAAAAAAAATACGTAGTCTATAAACCTTGAAGAAATGTTTATTATGATAATAACGATAGCTTACATTCTTCTGATAGCTTATCAGAATGTATGGCATACAATAATAATATTGATTTATAGCAAAATATAATTTACCACGAATGCATAAAAAAAAATTCAAGTATTATATCAGGGAAAATACTAATTTATACTAGTATATTAAAGATTCTAATATTCAAATTATATCAGTTTTGATCTTTTTAATAATTAATGGAATAAATGAGTAATCACATAATTAAAATGTATAATATGATTATTTCACATCTTTATTATATTTTCAATTATTTGTATATATAAATGTATCCAACACTTCGAAATGAAATTCAATAACATTGGCAAACATTAAAATAAATATTGAACACAGTACATTAAGCAGACACTACTAACAGTAAATATCAGTTATAATTTTAACGATTTAAATCGAACAAATAGGAAAACATATTTCAAAAGAAAAATCTATTATTTTGGCAAATAGAATATTAATTATATATATATATATATATATATATATATATATATATAATTAATTTAATGTGCAGAATGTGGATGTTTATGTATATAGTTTTTCCAATTTTCAATGATAATTTTTAATTTATAAAATATAGTTTCTAAAACCTCCAAGAATTGATAAAATATATATGTGAATGATATTGTAAAACTTATGTTATGGCAAACATTTTCAGATTGTAAAGATATCTTACCTTCGAGTGTCTAACTTGCAACTATCGATGTATTTCTATAAATATATTTCTGTAAATTTAGCACACCATATTTGCGAAAAATCTGGAAAATTATTTGTATAACAGTCACAAATATAAACTATTAAGAATCCGATTAAATCTACGAAAATTTATATATGTCCTTGGATTTAAAACTTTACATCATTCATTTGTTATAAATTGTGTATGATTATAACATTACTATATCATTTTTAATAATAAGAATTCTTTAACACAATTTTATTCTAATTTAATTACATTATGTTTTAATGCAACATAAATTTCTATTAAATAATATAAAAACTTAATCTGATTGAGTTGATAATTATATTTTGTAATCAATTATATGACCAATTGTATCAATATTTTATATTTAATTATGTAACATATATGTTATATATTTAGATACATAATGTACCAAAATCATTAATATTAAATTTCAATAAAGAATAATGTATCGTGTCAAGAGAAAGAAAACAATAAAAATTATTTAAATTAATTTGTTGTTATTTTAAGTTATACATATATGTATATATTTAGCTATTTGAATCTATAGAAATATTAAATTGCTTGATTTTATATCTAATCAGAACGCTGCGAATATCATTATTAGAGAAAAAAAGAGGTATCTTTTCTCCTTATTTGATTAAAAGAAAATAACTTCATATAAAACGTTAATCCAAAAATCAGATTTGTTTGTATTGGTTTTATGTAAAAGTGTACAATATTGCATTTCTTATATGGCTTATAATTATTCGCATATCTCTCAACTATGGGGATATTTCGCGAAGAAACATGTCTAGACAGTCTTTATAATTCGGAATTTATTCTCACATATAAAAAAAATAAATAAATATAATCAAATCAACATTTAATTATTTTCATTATAAAATTGAAAGATTTTTAATACATATAGTATTTGTATTTTTATAAACCTAATACGTGTGAAATAAATATCGGGTTGATATTCTAGTTTTATATATGATAAGAAGCATGCAAAAATGTGTGTTCATATTTTTAAAATAAAAATTCTACTTCACTTTTAACTTTAATAAATCATTATTTGCAATATTATTAAATTTAATAATTTGTATGTTTCAAAATCTTTACGGCAATTATTCGACACGTTCATTTTTATTCATTTCCTTTTTTGTTCTTATAATTGTAATCAAACGTAATAATAATTCTCAATTCCTTAAACGTCAAAATATAATAACATTTTAATGCGACTTTTGGAACGGTAATTGTATTCAAATGAACACAATTACACTTGGTGATTGCAATTATTTATTCATAGTCCTAGTTAGATCACGGCATCGTGGTAAACGAACATGCTGATCCGCTTACCGTGAATTTACTGAATATCAACTGACAACAGTGGCGAAAATTGCGCACAAAGCTCAAACTGACCGACATGAAATCCGACATTTGATTTGATTCACAAAAGTGTCAGAAAGATTTAAAATACCTCATATATTATTTCTTATACATTTTTCTCTCTTGACACAATATTTTTAACACAAAGAAAAAGAGAAATAGATGAAGAGAGAGAGAGAGAGAGAGAGAGAGAGAGAGAGAACATCTCTTTTATATAAGAAAAATATAAAATATAATTAATGATAAAAATATAAAGCAATAAATATATAATTAATAATTTAGAAATGATCATGTAATTGTATTATTATACCTTATTTCCATTCCAAACTTAATCTTTTAAAAAGAAATGTTTTGCAAGCTAAATTAAAATTTTAACTTGGAAATTAACATATCATATAAGATATCATATCATATAATATATCATTGATAATATATAATAGTAATTTATTTGAATTAAAAAAAATTTATCATTTAATTCTTAAATCTTAATGTTGTATGTATTATTCAAAGCAATTTTCAGAACAAGATTGAGTTACAAGCAGTCTGACAACAAATTAATTTAAATTATCAATTAAATTTTTCAAAAAAGATTTTAATTTTTGATTTTAATAAATAATTAGTAAAAATGTATATAATATATTTAAAATAAAAAATTTTAGATATCAAATTCAAAATCTATTATCTATATAATCTAAGCATCTATTTTAAAATAAAGAATTTTCCTCATTCTGTCCAATTATAAAAACTAAATAGTTAATCCAAATAAATTTTTTTTCTTGAAATTTTAAAATTTTACTTAAATATGAGTAAATTCAATTAATATAAAATAAAGTTATTTAAATTAATTTAAAAATTAAACACGTGGCATAAAACCCACAAAATATTAAGGTTGTTTTAAACCAATTAAATTAGTAAAATATAAAAAGAAATTCTCGTAAAAGAAATAAAATACTTTAATATAGATCTCCAAATTAAAATTACCGTAAAAAAAATAAAATATTTTAATACATAAATCTTTAAACAAACTCTAAATACTAAAACATGATAATACTTTTATCATTATTTATTGAATCTTGTACTAAACTAACCAACTAACAACGGTTAATTTAGCAATTTGCAGATCAATATACCGACAATGAAGAGTCCGTCGAACTTCGTTGCCAAATTTACTAGCGAGAACCGCAACTTGTTTCATTGAGCTAAAATCTAATACGATACAAAATAGTTCCGAATTTCAGAAAATATGTAAAAAAAACTGTAGATCCGTTGTTAGAAATAGCGATGAATAGATATGTACGCGATTACATGCCGAAATATTTATCAATTTATTAATATTATTATAAGTAAACAATAGGAGAGAAGAAAAGAAACAGCGAGTTCCATTTCATTTATTTTATATCAATTTTATTTAATTTATATTTGTTGCATTTTAAAAAATAGTGAAAAAAGTGATTTCACAAATAAATGAATAATGTAATGAAATGATATGGAAGCTATGATGGACTTATAGAATATAATAAAAAATAAAATATATAGAATATAAAAAAAAATAAAAATTAAAGATATACTAGCACAATCGCAATAATATAGACACACTCAACTCTAATGATATAGAAAGATATAATGATATAGAAAGAACTCTCATTTCTTGTTTATAATAATTTGGTCCTGTGCAGTTTTATTATCATATGTTATTATAATTAATATTTATTTATAATATTAATCATACTATAACTTGCGCTTTTCATTTGCTGTAAGTTGCATCAGAATGGAAATGCTAATGAGTGAATAATATAATATATAATATGAATATATAATATATTATATATAATAATATAATATATATAATATATATGTATATTCAGAAAAATCCACCGCGTATTGTACAAAGCATGAAACATTTCCTACAAAATTCAGTCGCTTTAGTAACAGCCAGTACGATCAATAGTCGTCAAGTTATCAGCAGTTGTCTATTAACCTACGTAAGATAATTTCAATTTCAATGTCTACAAATTATCATTAAATTTGAAAGATAAAAGTTGTATTTGTCAATAATTTTTTAATTAACTTCTAGAGTAATTACATAGTTTTTTATTATTGCAAACTTTTGTACATATTGCATGCACACGAAAATAAGTAGAATGGTTTATATTTAGCATGTTACAAGTCATTATATAACCGTTTATATTAATAAAGAGATAAAATGATTTTAATCAGGTATTGTATTTTTAGAATTAAAAAATATTTGCCTATTGGCTTGACACAGAATTTGAAGTGAAAAATCGTACACAATTCTCGATTTGATTGTTATTTTAGAGAAAGAAACATAAAACTTTTTGTATTAATGCAATTTATTACGCCCTGCAATATATTATATAAAGAGAAAAACGAAATTTACTTAAACTTATTTTAATATAACATTCAAAATATATTTATTTAAATATATTTATTTAAATATATTTATTTAAATAAATATATAAATATTAAAGTTACTGCTTATATGCTTAAATAAATAAATATTAAAGTGATTGGTTATATTATATTTATTTACATACACAGCTCTGTGTGGATATCAATGTAAATAAAAAATATCAATGATAAATAAAAAGAGAAAGAAGAAACATCTCCAGTTTATTTGATAAAAGAAAATAACTTCATATAAAACCTTGATCCAAAAAGGAAACTTGATATTGGTTATGCAAGAGTATATAATACTGCATTTCTTTGCTTGTAGCTTGCAGTTATTCGCGCATCTCTCAAGTATCACAATATTTCTCGAAGAGGCAAGAACCAATATATTTATAATTCAAAATTTATTTACGCACACAGAAAAATAAGTATGATTAAAATATATCAGTGTTCAACTGTATTCTCATTATAAGTTTGAAAATATTTTTAACATAAGCGATTATTTATTAAAAATCTAAAACGTACATAAGATTGGTAAGTTATTCGATATTCGATATAATATATAAATTTATAATAAATTATATGACTTATGTGCAATATTGTTTTCATTTATGAAATAAATCTTTGATTCTATTTAAATTGATTAAGTATTTACGCCTGTAAAATTAATTTAATAATTTGTATACATTTCAGAAATTTTAATGATAAATATTTCACGGTGTTAATCCCTTCTCATAAGAAAATGATTTTATTATTACTGCTGGTCTCATCGTGCATCCTACTAATGTATTACTACTGGAGACTTTATACATATTGGTTGAGAAGAAACGTACCTTGTCCTAAATTTTCGTTTTTCGGGAATAGTCGAAATGCATCGATGCTAAAGATCACAGTCGCTGAAAGTCTCCAGATGATGTACAAACAATTCGAAGGATATCCATTTGTCGGTATATACGAACTTATAACACCGGTTCTTCTGTTGAGAGATCCAAAACTAATTAAATATGTCTTCGTGAAAGATTTTGCCTACTTTCAAAGTAAGTTGCTATCTTTTCACAATCATACATCTTTTCAAAATCGTTTACTTTTACCTTTTTCACTTTTAAATTCTTTTTTAATATAAAAAAATTATTACGAAAAATACTGTGTTAATTATGTTTAAATTTTAATCAATGTGTTAATTAGTTCAATATGTTAATTAGTTTTCCAAAATTAATTTTTCTCGCATCTGATTTTATCTATTTATTTTTTCTGCTTTTATAATTACGATCAAATGCAAATAACTTTAATTTTTCAAACAATTAATAAGGAAATTCTCATATATATATGACTTTCATAGCGAGGATTTTATTTGAATGAATACAATCACATTTAATGATTGCAATTATTTATTTATAATCCTATTTAGGTCGTGGCATACCGATAAACGAACAAGCTGATCCGCTTGGCGCAAATTTAATTAATATTAACGGACAACGCTGGCGAAAATTGCGCACAAAGCTCACATCGACTTTTACAACCAGTAAAATTCGACACTTATTTGAATTAATCATGGAAGTGTCAGAAAAGTTTAAGGTATTTCATATATTATTTCACATACATTTTTTTCTATTAATATAATATTTTTAGCAGAGTATCTCTGTTTTATACAAGTATAAAACAAATATAAATAAAAATTTAAAGAAATTAATGATATAATTTAAAAAAATTAGTGATACAACACAATATAATTAATGAGAAAAAATAATGAATATATAATAAATAATTTAGGAAGTATTAACAATTATACATGTAAATGTTTTATTACATTAGTATATTATTTCTATTCAAAACTTAATGTTTCAAGAAAGAATACATGCGTGATAAATTCAAATGTTGATTTAACAGTTGATATATTATATATAGATAATATATAATAATAATATATAATAATAACATATAATAATTTATTTCAATATTTAAAAGATAAAGAGAGAGAGAATTTTAAATTTAATCTAAATTTTATTATTCAAAACAAATTCTGGAAAAAAAACCCTGAGAAACCCCTGAAAAAAACACTGAGTCATTTCATCATAAAGAACAATAATAAATTATCAGTTAAAAATTCCAAAAAGAATTTTAGTTTTTTTAATAGGCGATTAAAAAGATATATATATAACATCTTCAAGAGAATAATATTAGACATCATATTAAACAGCATCCATCTCGAATAACAAATTTTTATCTTATTTTCATCAATTATAGGAATCAAATAATTTATCTAAATAAGTCAAGTATATTAATGTCTTACAATTTTACTGAAATATAAATCAAATCCAAATATGATTAAACAAAAATTTTATAATTATAAGCTAATTTAAGAATTACATCCATGGAATAAAATTTACAAAATACGAAGCTTGTTCGAAATTTATTAAATGTGCAAAATAAAATCTCTTAAAAAATTTCCGAAATAAATTACTTTAATGAATTTACTTTACTATTCCCAAAATAAACTCTGAATATTAAAACAACATTTTTACGCACTTTTTGTTTGATTATATATATCTTATTCTGGAACTAATAGTAACTGTCTGGTTTAGCAATTTGTAGACCAATGTGCAGACAATGAAGATCCCGTGGAATTTCAAAATCTTGCTGCTAAGTTTACTAGCGAGAGCATCGCAACTTGTTTCTTCGGACTCAAAAGTAATGCGATAGAACATGATGATTCCGAATTTCTGAAAATGTGTAAAAAGGCTGCGGATCCATCGCTAGAGCTAGCAAGGAAAAGATATATACGCGATTACATGCCTGTATTATACAAATGGTTATCCATCTGCTTAATACCTCGGGATGTAACGTATCAATTTATTAATATTATTTTAAATAAATAACAACAGAAATATATTTGTTTAAATTATAATTTATATTTATTACTTTCACTTTCTTATAAAGGTTAGCGTTTATTTTATAAGGATAGTGAAAGAAATAATTACATACAGGCAAATGAACACTGTGAAGCGAAATGATATCATGCAATCTTTGATAGACTTAAAATATGAAGAAACAAAGGTGGACAATACGCTGGCACAAAACGCGTTATACGAATCTAATGATATAGGTATCAGATTTATTTTTCGTCTAAGACATTTCTATTTTATGTAATTTTATGTATAATTAAATATAATTAATTACGTTTATGTATAACTGAATACTTAAATATAATATTAATAATAATAATATTATAACTTGTACTTTTTCCGGTAGCATTTATCAAGAGTTATATACAACTAACTAATGACAATCTATTTATGTGTATAATATAATCAGAAAAGAAAACTAAATTTTTGTAAAAATAAATAAATATTAATATAAGTAATATTAATATAAGTAAATAAATATTAATATAAGTACATTAATATAAGTAATATCAAGTTTTTAGAAATATATATTCATGTATGTTAATTCATTTATATATTTTTTCAACTTATTAATTTACAGTCGTTTAAAAAGATCGATTGTTTTGATACATGTTTCAGTCTTCGATGATAAATTCATTGCAGCACAGGCTTTTGTATTCTTTATGGCTGGTTTCGATACCACATCTATAACTATAAGCTTTGCTATGTATGAGTTGGCTGTTAATCCTAAGATTCAAGAAAAATCGTATGATGAAATACGAACCATCTATGAGAAGCATGGCTGTTTCTCTTATGATGCTATATCCGAAATGAAGTATCTCGATTGCGTCGTTCGTGGTAAGTTCTCACTCAAATAAAAATTGCGATGATCAAAAAGCATAATGTAAATACGTTTGTAAAATGCAATTACTTCAATGAATTAGTAAGAACAATTTTAAAAAACAGTTATTAGCATTATAGCAGTATAGTAATTGATCACTAATCTAAGATTCTCAGAGTTTAGCATTAAGTTTATTAATTGTTATAAAAATTAAATTCGGAAAATAAAAATGAAAGGTTCTCGTTATTGAATCGAAAGGTATTCTTGTTTGTCAATAATTTCTGTTAGAAATAATTATAATTAAAATAATTATATAGATTTTTGTTATTGATGCGTATTATTATTGTTTTGAGCTTCGTGCATTGCATGAAACACAAACGAAAAAAAGTAGACTAGCACATGATTTTATATTTAACATTTATTATAAATTATTATATAATAATTGTGTTTATAATAAGAGAGATATTGATATTGTTTTAAAAAGACACTATACTTTTAGAAATTCTTAGAAAGTATCCGCCCTCTGGTGTGGTCCAAAGAATCTGCGGGGAATCGTACAAAATTCCCGATTCAGATGTTGTATTAGAAAAAGGTACAAAAGTTCTCGTGCCTATTTATGCAATCCATCATGATCCGCTTTATTATAAAAATCCAAATACATTCGATCCGGACCGATTTTTTGGTGAGAATAAGAAGCTTCATGACAATGATACATATCTACCTTTCGGTAATGGACCACGAATCTGTATTGGTAATATATGTATTTAAACAAATAATAAAACATTTAGTAATTAAGTAAAATTCGCATAAGCGTTATTTTACATATTAAAATATCTTTTATATATTTTAAAATTATAATACTATTAAAAAATATTTAATATATATATTTGCTTTTTATATATTATATGAAATAATTAATAGTGTATACTTTTTGTATATAATAATACTTTTTTATATATAGTAATACTTTTTATATATAATAATACTTTTTATTTTTATCTTAAACAGGAATGAAATTTGCTTACCTCCTAATAAAAGTAGGTCTCGTTACTCTCATAATGAATTATAAAGTGGAGCTAAGTGAGAAGACGTCTATTCCAATACAATTTGAACCGACTTCTTTTACATTGGTAAATAAATCTGGAATATGGTTGAAGATCCGTCGTCGTTTACAAGATTAGAGGACAACTTTAACATACGACAATAAGAAGCTATATATTCAATATTGGATATGTCGGAGCAATTTATGTGTATACGAAAATTTTATTGGGCTTCTCTAAGAGTCAATAAGAAATGATAGAAAACGATACAAAACTCAATTTATCGTGATAATTATGGTAACTTTTTTTCAAATTATAAAACTATTCCAGATATCCAACTTTGAATTGTCGAGAGATATATAAATCTATAAATCTATAAACCTTATTTGCGGAAAACCTGACGAAAACTATTTGCTACTTGATACAAATCTGAGCAAATATTTGAGAATGCAACTCGTTAAATCTGTGAAGATTTATATATATCTTCAGATATTTAAAACTTCATGATATCATTCAGATAATGTTTATGATAAATGCAAATTATTATTTTTAACGATATGCGTCCTGAAACAATTTTGCTCCGATTTAAATGCATTACATTTGTGTGCTAATGCGATATAAATTTCCATTAAATAATCAACTTAATATGATTGATTTAATGTTATAAATATGTATTACTTATAAATATATCAATTATATATTATATGATTAAATACACAATATATATTGAAACTATAAATACTTTTTAATGTGGTCAATGTATTTTGCCAAGAGAGAAAGATGAAAAGTTTACTTAAGATGAAAAGTTTACTTAAATTTATCTTATTATCGTTTTCAATAAATATTAAAGTGACTGATTATAACTTATATACTATTTATTCACATTACTTATTTGTTATTTATATAACATATTCGGTTATCAATGTTAAATAAAAAGAAGGAACGACATCTTCATTTTATATTATTAAAAGAAAGTAAATTCATGTGAGACCTTGATCCAAAACTCAGACATGAATATATTGGTCATACCAGAGTATATAATGCTGCATTTCTCTTCTTGTAGCTTACAGTTGTTTGTGCACTTTCGAATCTCAAAATATTCTTCGAAGAGACGAACAATATATTTATTATTCACAACTTGTTCACACGCGGAAATGTAAGTATATAATTAAAGTATAAAAATCAATTTTTTCCCCATTATTATTGAAAGCATTTAATATATCTATAATATATCTATTTCTAAATCTGATACAAAACTTATATAAAATTGACAAATATTCGATATTCCACATAATATATAGTTCTATAATAAAAATGTGAGCAATATCGTGTTCATTTATAAAATAGAATTGTGATTCTATTTAACTTTATTAAGAAGTTACCTATGAAATTAATATAATAATTTGTTACGTTTCTATATAAGCAATTTAATATTCTTTTATTTCAGAAACTTTAATAGTAAATATTTTGCGGCATTAATCCGGTATTTAAAAAAATGATTTTATTACTACTGGTCTCATCGTGCATCTTATTATTATATTACTATTGGACGAGACTTTATACATATTGGTTAAGAAGAAACGTACCTTGTCCTAAATTTTCGTTTTTCGGGAATAGTCGAAATGCATCGATGCTAAAGATCACAGTCGCTGAAAGCCTCCAGATGATGTACAAACAATTCGAAGGATATCCATTTGTCGGTATATACGAACTCACAACACCGGTCCTCCTGTTGAGAGATCCAAAATTAATTAAATGTATTCTCGTGAAAGACTTTACCTGCTTTCAAAGTAAGTTATTCTCTTATCACAATCACACAAAACTCTTCTCCTGATTTTCTTTACTTTTAAACTTACTCTTTTTTAATGTAAAAATATTTATATCTAATTCTGTTGGCTATATATCTAAATTGTAGTCATTCCACTAATTAGTTTTCCAAAATTAATTCTCTTTTAACCCATTTTTATCTACTTACTTTTTCTTCTACTCTTATAATTAGGATAAAATACTTTGATGAAGTAACTTTAATTTTTTAATGATGAATAAGGAAATTTTAATGAGAATTCCGTAACGATGATGATATTCGAATAAACACACAATTACACTTGGCAATTATTTATTCATAGTCCTATTTAGGTCGTGGCATAGTGATAAACGAACATGCTGATCCGCTTAGCGCAAATTTAATTAATATCAATGGACAACGCTGGCGAAAATTGCGCATGAAGCTTGCATCCGTCTTCACAACTAGTAAAACTCGACACGTATTTGAATTGATCACAGAAGTATCAGAAACATTTAAGGTATTTCAAATGCTATTTCTCACATATTTTTTAATTAAATTCCTATTTCTCTCATTTATTTTTTAATTAAATATTATATAATATATATAATATATGACACAATATTTTTAACAGAATACCTCTGTTTTACACACGTCTCAAAGTTCTTTAAAAAACATAATTAATGATAGATATAATAAAATATAATCAAATGAAAAAAATTAATGATACAAAAATAAAATATAAACAAAAATTTAGAAAATTAACGACTAGATGTATATTTTACATTCGTATATTATTTTTATTCAAAACTTAATTTTTTTAACAGGAATATGTATGTAATAAATACAAATTTTAACATGGCAATCAATATCTCATATTGATATATATAATGTATAATAGTAATTTATATAAATTTCTAAAAGAGAGAGATAGAAAGAAAAACATAAACTTTAATGTAAATCTCTATATTCAGAGCAAATGCTGGAACACGAAACTATGTTTACCAAGTAATATAATAATAATAATTTATTAGTCAAAAATTTCCAAAAAGATTTTAATATGCTTCTTTAGTGAATGATTAAAAAGAATACGCAACATATTCAATCACAATATTAGATATTATAAAAACAGCATTAAAATTTCTTTTCAACGAATTAAAATTTCTTTTCTTATTCTCTTCAATTAACGAAACTAAATAATTTATCAAAAATATAAGAAATAATTTATCTAAAAAAGTAAAGTGCTTATTTCTTACACTAAATAAAAAATATGTAATTATAAATGAATTTAAAAATTTTCATATATCCACGATATAAAATTTACACAATACTAAAAACAGAATTCATTAAAAATACATAAAATTTCTCCACAAAATGCTTCTAAATTATTTTAATACATAGTTCTCTTAAAACAAATATGAATATTAAGACAATATTTTCATGTATTATTTGTCCAGTTACAAATTTTGCAGTAAACTAGTAATAACAATCTGGTTTAGCAATTTATAGATCAATGTGCAGACAATGAAGAACCCGTGGAATTTCAAAATCTTGCTGCCAAGTTTACCAGCGAGATCATCGCAACCTGTTTCTTTGGACTTAAAACTAACACGATACAAAATGGTGATTCCGAATTTCGGAGAATGTGTAAAAAGATGATGGATCCATCGTTAGAGATAGCGATGAAGAGATATGTACGCGATTACATGCCCAGAATATACAAATGGTTATCAGTTTGCTTAACACCTCGAGATGTAACGTTTCAATTTATTATTATTATTACAAGTAAATATCAAGAGAGAAAGATCTCTTTAATATATTTATTGTATTTCTCTTTTATAAAGGTTACTGTGTATTTCATGAGGATAGTGAAAGAAATAATTATACACAGAGAAATGAACAACATGAGACGAAATGATATTATGCAAGCTTTAATAGATTTAAGATATAAAGAAACAAAGATGAAAGATGCACAATCGCAAAACGGGACATCCGAATCTAATGATATAGGTATCAGATCTCATTTTTCTTGTCTTACACATTTTTTGTCTTTTGTATAATTTTATATACATATATATATTTAGAGTTAAATATAATTAAATTATATTTATTAAATTATATTATATAATTATTTATATATTTATATTTATTTATAATTAAATATTTAATTATAATATTAATAATATTATAACTTGCGCGTCTTCCGATTACTTATTATCGCATGAAAAATCGATCGTTTTGATACATGTTACAGTTATTGATGACAAACTCATCACAGCCCAAGCTTTTATATTCCTTTTGGCTGGCTTCGAAACTTCATCGACGGCTATGAGTTTTGCTATGTATGAGTTAGCTGCTAATCCTAAGATTCAAGAAAAGTTGTACGACGAAATACAAACCATCTACGAGAAACACGGCTGTTTTTCTTATGATACTATATCAGAAATGAAGTATCTTGATTGCATTGTTCACGGTAAGTTTCCATTCGAAAGAAAATTCCAAAGATTGAATAAATATATTCGCAAAATTCAGTTTAATAATTAGTAAGATGAATGATTGCCCGGTGATTGGCTATTAATCTATGTAAGATAATTTTCAATTTCAATCGTTAACAACTAATCTAAGATAATTTTCATTTTTAATCTCTACAAATTGTTATAAAAATTAAATTTGTAAAATAAAACAAATGTTATCTGTCAATAATTTTTCATTTACTTCTATTAGAAATATTGTTCTTGATTGCGTTTCACATGTAAAACGCAAAAAAAAGAAATAAATTGGTATATATGATTTTATATTTGACACAATTACAAATCATTATAAAAATTATGGTTAAGTGAATAAGGAGATATTGATGATTTAAAAAAAAATATCACATTTTTAGAAACTCTTAGAAAGTATCCGCCCGTTGGTGCAACACAAAGAATCTGCGAAAAATCGTACAAAATTCCCGATTCGGATGTTGTATTAGAAAAAGGTACAAAAGTTCTGGTGCCTATTTATGCAATCCACCATGATTCGCTTTATTATAAAAATCCAAATGCATTTGATCCGGACCGATTTATTGATGAGAATAAGAAGCTACATGACAATAACACATATCTACCTTTCGGTGATGGACCACGAATTTGTATTGGTAATATACTTAGACAAATAATGAAATATTTAATATTTGAGCAATATTTAAATAAACATATATTATTTTGCTATCTATGCATATTATAAAATTCTTCATATTTTTTATAATAATAAATATTTTTCATTATAAATATTTCTCAAAACATATATATATATGTACTTGTGTTATGTATTATATAAAATTATTAATTGTCATTACTGTTTAGATAATTTTTTTATTTTCATCCTAAATAGGAATGAAGTTTGCTTACATCCAAATAAAAGTAGGTCTCGTTACTCTCATGGCGAATTATAAAGTGGAACTTAGTGAGAAGACTCCTATTCCATTACAGTTTGAACCGACTGGCATTACGTTGACAAGTAAATCTGGAATATGGTTAAAAATCTGCCGTCGTTTACAAGAATAGAAAACAATTTTACAATTAAAATATTAATTAATAAGAATATCTCGACAAAAATGTATCGATCATGAGAAGCTGTAATTCAATATGGTTTACGACAAAATAATTTGTGTACGTAGTAATTGTAATTAACTGCATGTAATTGTATAATGTAAAGATTTATATTTATAAAAATTAATTTGAATTATTAAGTTTACATTGAAAATATTTGCATTTAAAAAGTTCTATCGAATATTGTAATTCAATTTGTTTGTTCGGTGTTTCAAAGAAGGATGTTATAAGACAGATACTGTTTCATTTTTTATTATTGCTATATAAGATTATTACAGCACAGAGCAGAGACTTAGCCTAAGTATCACATTCTAAAATTTATATCACTAATACATATAGATTAAATTATATATTAGACATAAGAAAATTATATGAAAAAATTTTAATAAAAATTTATCTTGATTGATACAGTAAAATTAGTTATTTTAAGAAAGTTGAATAATTAATCCTACAGATTGAGAAATCGGTTTCATTGCGAATATCTGAGGCAATTTCAGTCAACGGAGAAAATGAAACAGGCTGAAAATTTGGTTTATAAGCACAGTGTGAGTGATGATACCAGTTTTCATCTCTCTCTCCATTTCCACTTGTATTTATTTAAGTCTTACATTACCAGCAGCATGTCTCGTTTAAATAAATTCACTTATTTCTCTTTCCTTACTTCCCTCCTTCATTGTCATAAAACCCATAAAGATCCATGTAAGGAATCGGAGAACAGTGAGATATCCCATTACCGTATTTATAGCCTTCAATTTTAGCAAACATAGGTTGACCTAGGTGAACGATGCTGGAGAACTTCCTGCAAACATCCGAACTCCTCGTTCCCTCTAAGAATAATAATCGTGATCATTATTAAATTCAATAATTGCGAATCATTAATCGGTCGGTGTATTCACCTCAATTATTTTTTATTATTAAATTGATAAAGAATTCGGCTCTATGTAATTAATAACACGATACTTAAGAAACGAGCGAATAAGAGCCAAACGCGGATGGTAAAAATTTATAACAAAAATATAAAATTTACCTTTATAAACTTGGGATAGAGCAAAATTGCCAAGGATGTACATACAATTAATAGTTGTCAATATGCCAAGTAAACTAAGTATTACAAGCTTTTTATGGAAATTTGATATGCAATTCATCTTGCAATGGAAAAATTCACAATCAAAATAGAATGATATATTCTATTATGTAATCTGCGATATGTGAATATATTTAAAAAAACATATACACATATATATTTTTATCGTAATTTATATTTTCAACGCATAAATTTATATAATAAAATATATATTTAAATATATATTGATGATTAATTAAAATATATAAATATATAATTATTTACATATACAGGATATCTGATCTAATGTGTTTTCGTTGGGACATCTTACGTTAGACACCCAGTATATCTTTATTTGTTCGATTAGGATATTTATCAAAAATTTAAAAAACGATTCTTTTTTTATAAATGTCAACTCTTACAAATAATTATTATCTTTCACACATATACTCAATGATTTTTATTATTTTTGTCAATTATTATTTCTACTCAAAATGTCCAATTAACAAGAACATTTAACATGTTTAACAGGAACATGTTTACACATTTAATACGTCTTACACGTGAGAACTTTTGTACGTAACAAAGAAGTCTATACACTGATCGTTTTCTCTATGTTTCTCGTCTAGGTCACATTCCAAAACTGTTGTTAGGAGAAACGGAAATAAATTAATGAAAACAGCCGAAGCTGCATAAGAAAAACGAGAGTAGTCCAATTTTGGAACACACTAGATATAATTATAAAACAGAAAAATTACACTTAAAAAATTTTCCTTTTCTTTTTTGCGTGGAGCTTATTTTAACGATTATTTTATTTCAATGTTTTTATTTCAAGAATCCTTATATTATAAATAAAATTAAATATAAATAAATCATTGAAAGGAAAATACGTGTAAGTCGCATATCATTTGAAAGAAATATAAACGGCTTCCTCTTCTCTTCTTCTAATGCTCTGCCTCGTTAAAGAGATCAATGTGTTTCAAGGAAATGAATATGAATGAAAAATCTATTTTCACATTGGCAATACACTTTGCTAGATACGTATCTAACGATAATTCTTAACATACCATTCGTAGGTTCTATATTCCATCGATATCAAATCTTGCGCGAATAACAGATAACATTCAATTCTGAAAAAGAATTATAAAGATATAGATATCTTTCAAGACTGAGTTATTTTAAATTGTTTTAAATTGTTTATTATATTTATATAAATGCAAAAATATCTCTGATCAAAATTTAAATAAAAGAAAAAAAAGAAGATAAATATTTAAGGAATATAATCATGTATGATCTCTTTTGATTAATATGGAATATAAAAATATATCATCCAAAAAAGAGATCATCTGTGTGTGTGTGTAAATAAAGATCACCTGAATGTATTTTCACAATTTATTAGCGCTTTCATCACACATTTTAAAGATAACAATCAGTCACGTTCTACAAATCTCCAATAAATCTTGATATAGATTAGATTAACAACGAGTCGTTTGGCACATGTTATTTGATAAAATTTATATAACATTTCACAATAATTTCATGTTAATATCCATAAAATTTCATATCTTTATATATCCTATACACATCCTTAATATGCATTCATACTTGATATAATTCAAATAGATTCGCTTCCGTTTCTATCTCATTCTGCTAAAAGACGCCCATTCACTTCACGTTCATTTATTCAATTATTCATGCGAAACAAACAAGTTATCAGAATCGCGTGAAAGAGAATAAAGGCTCTCTTTAGTGTGCGGGAATTAATAATTCCCAGCGGAAGAGAGGAAAAAGCGCAAGAATCTCTCGCCGAAGGAGGTATCATCAACTACGAGCTCCAAGGTCTCTCTATAAATGCGTGGCGCGCTCGTATTGATAGCTTTAGTCGGTGGGAGGTCGGCCTTTCAGCATAAACGACGCAACGCACAAATATATGCGCACGCATTGAACATACACAACATTGTTTATTTTTTTTCTTCTCTCTGTACCTCCCACCAGATCCACTTCTAGCCGCTTCGATCGCACGATCCACGACGATCGCGCATTCGACTCTGGAAAATCGCAAGTGCAGTAATGCAAAATAAAACTGGAGTGTCGCGAAATATTTCCTAGTGTGAACGACGCTGTCCTTTTATGTCAAATCGAACGAGTCGAGGCGACTTGCTGTCGGGCTGTCAAGTTCACAGATCCGAAACGTAGTGAATGAGTGTGCAGTTTTTTAATGAAAAAAACAGTGCATCGATCAATGATTTATCGCGCAAACTGCATAACAGCGCAAATCTAGTGAAAGAGAGATTTGTAGTTTGTCAAAATATGCAAAATATTCGCCATGTGATATGTAAAAATATACAAAAATTTAATATATGTATATATGTACCATAAAATTAATACTCAACACTTTCAAATTAATTAGATATTAGACGCTTTTTTGTTTCCACTATTTAAGTTTTTCTCTATTATTATATGTTAATTAATGTAAAATAAAATTGTAAGAATATTTTGTAATCTTGAACCAAAAATTTAAAGTTTTTATTAAATTTAAAAAATTACTTTTTATTAAAATTTATAGTTTTTATTAAATTAAGAGAAAAGGGATAGGTTTTATCAAGTCAAAAATATAATAAAAAGAAACAGAGAAAATTAAGTGCGATAAAGTAATCAGGTACGATAAAGAGATGCAATAAATGCTGAATGCTAAATATGAACGCTTCAACTGGTGCAAAAGTTCAGAAATTAATCAAGGATCGACTTTTATTTTAATTCATTATCGTCTTAAAAGAAGTATACAAAATATTTTAATAAAAATAGTGAAATTACAATAAAACTCACTTAAATTTCTTTTAAAAAATATATTATAATTCGGAATAGTTTATATAATTCAGAAATTTTTTCCCTATATTTTCTTTATTCTTAAAATTCCTCCAAAAATATATAAAATATATTTCTACAATTTTTATATACAATAATTGACACTATACATTAAAAATTAAGCCGTAATGTAAGAAAGTGTTTTTTAAATTATGAAGGAATATTCCTGTTAATAATAACAAGTCGTGTTAAGAAGTAAACTGCGCTAAACAGCTGTGCGAGTGGTTTGTGTATTTAAGCTCACATATAATCAGTACATTTACATCTGTTTATTCTGAATGCTCTTTTATGTAGCCAGAATATAAGAATGTACGTTTATAAAACGCTTTTGTGCAACTAGAGTATGTTTATAAAAATTGTATATAAGCGTATACGTTTATAAGAACGATTTAAAAATAGACCTCGATATATAAGTGAATATGTTTATAAGAACGACTTAAAAATAGACCTCGATCACGATCGAACAATCGTAATTGTATTATGCTATGATAGTGAATCAATAACATTGAACCGATATTTAATGCAAACGACTCAAAGTCTATCAATTAAGTAATTAATATAAACTCTCTCATGTAATCTCTAAAAAATATTAAAAATAATGTCGAATAAATTGTAGATTAAAAGTCATTAATTGTATCATTTTTTTATATGAGATAAAAGTTATATAAATTATTATTTATATTATATAAATTAGAAATTATATAAGAAGAAAAATATTTCTCGAAACTCGTGTCTCGAAAAGAAATCGAAAATGCTTGGTATTGTGTTAGTGTTATTAGATCCCTTCTTGCTTATCGGACTTCTTCTTGGTAGCTTATACTTTTACCTTAGTGCGACTTTTGATTTTTGGCAATGTCGTGGCGTACCATTCAAAAAGCCGACCGTGCTCGTCGGAAACTTTGGTCCTCTGCTCCTATTCCGGAAATCACAAGCGGAAGGTGTCAAAGAGATGTACCAATGGTTCAAGGACGAAAGATTCTTCGGTGCGTTCCGCGTTAGATCGCCCGTTCTGATCTTACGCGACCCCGATCTGGTGAAGAGCGTATTCGTCAAGGATTTTGCCTACTTCACAAATCGTGGAATTCCAATCAATAACGCTCAGGTATTAAAACGCACACTATATTATTATTTTTCTTTTTTTTCAGATGAAAAACAGGTGGCTTTTCGAGCTCGTCTAATTGTACTAACTAAACATTTAACAATAACACGTATAGATCTCGGGCGTAAGAAACTTCGATATCGAAATTTCAATTCCATTTTAATCAGGATCCGCTCTCCGGCCACCTGTTCAACCTCGAAGGACGCAAGTGGAAGAACCTCAGATCGAAATTGACGCCCGCGTTCTCGTCGGGCAAGATGAAACGGATGTTCTACCTGTTGGTGGAATGTTGCGAGGAGCTGCAGAGACTCATCGACGCGAGTTGCAGCGGTGATCGCAGCACGATCGAGGTGCGGGAATTCGCGGCCAAGTTTACCATCGACGTCATCGGCAGCTGCGCCTTCGGCATACAGATAAACGCCCTCACCGACGAGGAATCCGAGTTTCACCAGGCAGCGAAGAGACTCTCGAGGCCGAGTTACAAGACGACCCTCTGGAGGATGCTGCGAACGGCCATGCCGGGGTTGTACAGGCTGCTGGGCGTGCAGGTCATCGATCCGACTGTCACCACATTCTTCAAGAGCGTCGTATCGCAGATGATCGGCCAAAGGGAGAGAAATGAAGGGCGAAGACACGACTTTATGGACCTGCTGATCGAGCTGAAGAACAAGGGCGTTCTGGAGAACGAAAGCGGCGCGCAAATCTATGATGACGAGAACGCCCAGGCGGCAAAGGAAATCGGTAAAGTCATTTGCGAAAGAGAGCATATTCGTCTGTTTTTTTTTATTCGCGAAGATTAAAGATAAATTATGATTTTTATAGAATTAGATGAAGATGCTATTGCGGCGCAAGCGTTCGTCTTTTTTGCCGCCGGCTACGAAACGTCCTCGAACACCATCGCGTTCTGTCTTCACGAGCTAGCTTTGAATCAGGAGATCCAAGAAAGAACTAGACGGGAGATATGCAACGCCTTAGGAATGCGAGATAATAAATTAACATACGACGCTGTGCAAGATATGAAGTATCTCGATATGGTAATATTAGGTATGCACTTTGATACAAAAAATTCAATGACAGATAGCTTTTCAAAGTCAACAAAGAGAATAATTATTCTATAATTTTCTGATCTTAAATACAATTTTGGTCTCAAAACTGTACCACATCATAATTTCGAGAAATTTGCGATTAAAATTGCAAAAATGCTATTATAAATATTTTAATTTTGAATTTTAGAAAAATCTGACAAAATTGAATTTGACATATTATATTCATATATTTCCATTGAATTATTCAATAACTTATAAAATCTTTATGTATAAATGTTTGCAAAAAATATTTTTTTACATTTTTTCTATTAATTCTGTCACTTGAAATTTATTTTAACATTAGATTTGAATTCAACGATCCAAAAAAAATATTAAATTTGATAAATGATAAATTATAATCGATAGTTTTTTTTATTATAACTTTAATCTCAATTTCTCAAAATTGTAACATATATATTTCTGAGGTCAAAATCGTATCAAATATAAAAAAATTAATAACAAATGACTATTACTTTTCTGGATTTTTGTTATTGTTTATTATTATATTTCAAAAAGATTTAATTTAGTTTTTAGTCAAAAATACAAATTTTTATTATTTTTATTATTTTATTATATATTTCATTATTTTTCTTGATTTTTATTATTGTTTATTATTATAATCAAAAAGATTTAATTTAGTTTTTAATCAAAAATACAAATTTTTATTATCATATAGTAATAAGATTTTAAAATCCGAATACATTCACCATAATAAAAGCCGTAATAAAGACAAAAATTTAGATGAAATAATTATTATAAAAATCTGCGTAGAGACTCTTAGAAAGTACCCGCCTGCTCCACTGATATCTCGAAAGTGCGAGTACAATTACCAGATACCAAATAGTAAAGTGGAACTGCCATCCGGTATGCGGGTGATTATACCAATTTATGGCTTCCATCACGACCCAAATTATTATCCCGATCCGATGAAATTCAATCCTGAGAGATTTACGGAAGAGAATAAACGCACGAGGCACCCTTACACGTATCTTCCATTTGGAGAAGGACCACGAAATTGCATAGGTATCGTTTTTTTATTTATTTATTACTTTTCCCTTGAGAGAGATATTCCCTTTTTTTGCAATATTAAGTCAAATTTTTTAACTATAAAATTATGTAAAAAGGTTTTGGGATTTCCCAAAAATTTCCTATGTTCAGCTTTTAATATATCTTGTGCCATTGGATTCCTGTACATATTTTTTATTTCTTTTCTTAAAAATAAAAACGATGCAATAAATTGTCAGCGAACGCTGAAATTTAGAACGTCGTAAATAAAAATGAACGCGTTTAAGCAACGTTCATATATGAACAACCAATTCAATTTTAATTCTTCTGTAGAATGGCTGTAAATAGTAACGGCGAATTAAGCAAACAGCTGGAATTTATAATCCGCTGACTCAACACATTATTACGTCACGCGTTACTTCGCTCGTGTGAACCATATAAAGTCTGTTTGTAGTTGGCGGCCAGAAACAGTGATAGAATGATTTGGCATTGATAAGAAAAACCATACCTGTAGAATTTATAAATATACCAATCTCGTTTATCGATTCATAGAAATGCTTTAACGAACTTTATCTCGTCATTTATCTTTATTACTCCAAAAAACAAGATAATACTGAATTATCTTATTTAATTAGCATTTAACTCGTTATATTATCACCTTAATCACTCACTTAATTAGCTTAATATTTAATTACAATAATTTTCAAATAAAAAATTATATACAATTATATACAATAATTAACACAAATAAGAAAACATATTTTTAGAAATTGCATAATATACGCAAAACTTATTCGATATATAATTTATTTAATAAATATTTACTTCTCTCTCTCGAAAGCAAGATGCAAAATTGCTCGAGCAAATTTATGTGATTATGGAGGACAACAACCGTGTTAATATAATGATAATATATCACCGTGATAATATATCATGTAATTTTCTATGCAAAAAAACATCCGTTACAATTCGATAAGCTTGCCTCGGAATCGTCATTAAATCGGTTGTTATTAAATAATTGATACGTCATAATTGCTGAGACGGCGTAACTTGATTTCGCAATCTTGCAGGAATGCGATTCGCGTTGCTGCAAATCAAGATGGGAATAATATCATTCCTCAAGAATCATCGAGTCGAGATATGCGAAAGATCGATCGTACCGATAAAATTTAGCAGACGGAGTCTCGTGACCACGAGCGAAAGGGGATTTTGGCTCGCCATCACTCCATCCTCCTAGATCTGTAAAGATTTCTATTTTAAAAAAGTTTTAATAGGAATATATGTGATTAAATATTAAACACGTGTATAAAATCGCAATAATAAATATATCATTCTTAATAATATATCGTAATATATCATAATTATAATACCGTAATATATCATAATTATCTTAATTGGCGGCAAAGATAGATAGAACATCAATTATTGTTTCTGTATTATTTTACTTAATTAAATCTGCACCTCAGAATTAGAAGTATTTTAAAAAGGAGATTCATTAAATCAATTAAGCTGATATTTTTATATTGTATTTTATTCGCCATAAATGCTATAGGGAAATTTAGAGAGATGTAATTTTCCCAATTTTAAAAATATAATCTTTTTTTCTCTGAAAAGTCAAAAACTGTCTTAAGCTTCTTTCTAGTTCTGAGAATTTTAATCAAAAAATATATCCAATAAATCGCAAAAAAGAATAAATAATTTTTGCTAGCTTTATTAGAAAATAATAGAAATTGACACATACACACAAAATCATTAGAATATTATTGATCACTTATGTTACATCAATTTAATTATCTGTCATAACTTTTACGATCGCTTTTAGGGATTTATGTACGCGCATAAATAATAACCCTTAATGTGATGTATATGAGAGATAATTTTAATCTAATTTAATCGAAAAAATAATATGTATGTGTATATGCATGTGTATAAACTGCTCTTTTATATATATGTATATACTATAATACTTATAAAAAAGTATCAAAACAACACATATATCTATTATAATTATGTGAATTATGATTTTCCATAACAAAACAATTTGTATTAAGCAAATATAATTACACCATACTTATGTGTCGAATATTGGCGTTTTTATTTATACATATTTGATAAAAGAAATTGACACACAACAAAATCATGAAAATATTGATCACTTATATTACATTAATTTAATTACATCTGTTTCCATTTCGGAGAGTTACCTGATCTTTTACGCTGCTTCTGCAAAAATTAGCTAATCAGCTCCAAAAAACAATATACTTCATTTTCGCTCTTGTAAAATATATATTTATGGCAATATATTTACAATAATATATTTATAATAATATGCACAATTGTACGCATATAAAAACAGAATATACCGTGTTGTATTAAAATGCAAATTTTTTTATTTACTTCTTATACCGTAACATGCAAATAAGTTACACGCACTTGCTCTGCTTTCTAATGTAAAACTTTACTCTTAAGACTTCTCTATATACATATATTTTATCGCACATGTGTATGCTTTTAAAACAGAGAGGGTAAGAGAACTCAGTACTTCGTGAATCAACTGGCGACATAAACAAACAGCTCTCGTAAGTATAAATACAGCAGTCAACTATGTCGCTATGCTGTGCGTATGCTATGTGTGTATATATACTCCTGAACAAAATTAATGCATAATTTTTTTTCACTTTTTCTTTAAAAGCTAGCATTTAAATTTTAACGAAAAATTTTAAAGAAAAAATGAAAAAAAATTATACATTAATTTTGTCCAGGAGTGTATATATATACAGGGTGGAACGTTCCAGCCAGACTTTGAGATCTTATAGGAAATTTAATTCTGAACAAAAAATTATATATATATATATATATATATATATATATATAATATAAATTATATTATATATATATATATATATATATATATATATATATATACACTCCTAGACAAAATTAATGCATAATTTTTTTTTTACTTTTTCTTTAAAATTTTTCGTTAAAATTTAAATATCAGCTTTTAAAGAAAAAGTGAAAAAAGTTATGCATTAATTATATATATATATATATATATATATATATATATATATATATGTATGTGTGTGTGTATGTATGTATGTATATGTGTGAATAAAAAGACGCTATGTGTGGGTGTGCATCGAAGGAGAGAGCGGACGTTACTCCGCGATCCTACGCGCATAAATTGAATCGGAACCGCAATCAAATAAGGCTCTCTGTCGTCGTCAGCTGATCGGAGCGCGCGGCACGTAAGTCGCTGCGCGCGACGGTCTGCGCGCTTGGCTCGTTAAAGGCAACACACAACGGAAGAGTTAACACCACCACTATTCTCCTCTCTCGGTGCCGTCAGCTTTCCCGGCACGCTGTTTACTCCTCACAACGCAAACCCGTGCGTTGACCGATCGTACATGCAATAACAGTATTCGCGAGTCAGTGCACTCGCGATTCCCCGTCAAACTTGTAAAGATATTTCGGTGAAAATTGAAATCGGAGCGCTAGGCTCGACGAGGACGACGTTGCAAAAGGAGAGAGAGAGAGAAAGGACACTCACCCACGGACGTTTATGAGGAGCACCTGTCAACGAGAGACGCCTCGTCGAGAATAATGCCACGGTGAGCCACGAGTCTCTTCCGGTCGCGGAAGCGATAACTCGGACCTTTAAATGCGCGCTTCTCCCATTCTTATCAATCTAATATTACATTACTGGCGAGCCAGTAGCGTACGCGTCGTCGCTAGCGCGATACCCGAGAGATTTTTTGTCCTGCCCGTTCTGCCCGTGATTTAGAGGGAGAGGGAGAGATATTCGCGAGATGATAATATTTAGAATGGAATAACGCGGTCGATAATCAACAGATGATCTCCTGGGACGGCCTCCTGGAGATCAGAGCGATCGTCCACCTTAAAACGAGCGAAAGTCTCGATAATTGTTATGTTTTATCGCATCTCTGTTTAATGTAGGTTAGAGTGATTTGCACTGTGCGTTGCTGCCTTTGATTCTAGCGTACATCACGCATCGTATATCCTGCAACTTATCTCGAAATGTGATCTGTCAACGAGACGCTAAACGTGATATGTATTAAAAGCTGTTCCTCTGATTCTAGATGTCACACTACGGTAGAAACACCTACAATCAAAGGACTGCGGTGATTGACCATGAAAGACAATTTCAAGAGGATCTGGAACGGGCTCAAGCTCTCAGTTTGGAAAGCTTGGCTTTAGAGAAATTTAGATTACAAAAGTTACGTTCGGAAATTAGTAATGTGGAGCAATCGTGCATCACGCAGAAAAATGTGTGCAATACAAATAGTGCAACATCGGAGACAGATGGTTTACAAGGAGAAAGGTTAAGATTTTTCCAAGGATTTTTCATATTCTTAATATTATTAGAAATTAATAACATTTAATAACATGTCTCTATTGATTTATGATTTTTATATATATATATATATATATATATATATATATATATCTTTATAAGAGTTTTAATTTATTTTATGTGAGAATGATTAAATAACTTAACATTTAATGTTCAACAGATCTCAATGCAGGAGCCGACCAAGACCCGGATTCATTAATAATCAAACGAATCAAAAGAATACTATAATATTAGCACCACCACCTCCGATACCATGTAGAAGAAATTCAACAGCTACCGCTGCAAGTCAGAGTTCTTCTAGTGATTTGATCAATTTTACAAGTCCCGTGAAGCAGGATAATCTGGCGGAATATTGCTCACCACCACCACCACCACCACCGTAATATTTTTATAACAATACATAAAATTATATTTTTAGTTAACAATATAATTTTTTATATAAAAATTATTTTTATATATATTATATAATTGTATTATTTCTATTTTAATATTTTAAAATAAATCATGAGGTTTATATAAAAAATGAATTATTAATCAAATGATTTATGCATTTGCAAAGGTATTTGCTAAGTCATTTTTTCTTTCTTTAGTTTGAACAACAATAATGTTATGTTCTTGTATGAATTATTGAAGCTATTAAACACTTTTTGTTGCAGAAAAGCACCACTAGAACCAAATTGGGATACACATCCATCATTATTGAAGAAACAATCAAGAGTGTCTCGAAGTAATAGCTCAGTTGGTGCATATCATTCCAGAGATTTTAGATATCATTCTCTTTCTCCAGGTCCACGATCTTCCACAGCACCATGCACGCCAGGAACACCGGGAATTAGTCCTATCATGTCAAGAGCTAATAGTGTTAGCAGTAATGTACCTGATATTGCACCACAGGTAGTAAAGATTTACATAGAATCCGCTTTGTTCTGAAATAAACATTTCCAATTTACAGTGTTTTTTTTCTTTTTATTTTTTTTCCTCTTTTTTTATCAATACAACTTTAAATGTAAATTAACACAAAGCAGTATGTTAAAGTGCAGTCTTTCTTACAGCCTGCATGGAAATTTATTATCTTTAAGCATCTTTTCTTCGGACAGGTATCTCATACATCTGAAGATTTGAGAGATGCTTATAATAGTCCCATTTTCTTTTATAGTATTATTTAAACTAATTTATCTTAACTTATCATTTTATATAATATCACCAATATAGCATATGTACAAAATGTGCCAATTAATCAAACATATTTTCACGCTTTGCCTTTTTTCTAGTGAATGCGAAAATATTTGCATCATATATTCTTGTATCGCTAGATTTTTCAAGCAAAGAATATCTATTGATGCATGACAGAATAATGAAAGAGAATATCAAAAGTTTTATATTTCTTTTTTAGATTCCTCCATTGCCTACAAATTATAGACCAACCGTTACACCTGCCATGTGCGCTCCGTCAATACCGACATTCTGCATAGATGATGAACAGTTGAATGTATTAAAAGTGATAGAGAAGAAACCAAATAGCAATCTTATAGATTTGAATAGTTTTGAGCAAACAGAGGACAAAACAAATGTACGAGTTAGCGTATTGGAAGCATTCGATCCATTACTTATTAAAACTGACAGTGCAAACGAATCTGTGCAAGAATATAAAGACGGTAAATTATATTATCTCATATTTTATATTGGTAAAATTTCTGTTAGTAGAACTAATTATATGCATTAAGAAGTTCAGGTATTGATGAGCTTTCAGTAAAGTTTATAATTTCACAATTCTTTTTATTTATTATTTTTTTTTAATGCAAAAATTGACTTGGCAATTCAATATCTGACTTTTCTGTATGTTATAATAACACTGTTTTTTATGTAATTTATTGCGTTACATTTTATTTTTAATATTAAAATGTTAATAATAGTTACATCTTACTGATATTTTTGTCTGTGAAATTTAGACTCGAATTAATGATATATGCTATACATATTTCTGTTACAACATTATATCTTTATTCTCTATCTAGATAGTTTCCTAGATAGTACTATTCAGATAATAAAAATTCTACTGCAAATTATTAATATTATAG